TACAACCATTGGAGTGATGACAGTCTTTGAGACCAGACAGCTTGCTGGCTATTTGAGTCTGTTACATGTATACTTGAAATTATTTTATGTTGTTGCTTTCGTATTTAATTTTTACAAATATCATTTCAAAATTACTATTTGTTGTGTATGTGTTCTGATTTCAGTGCTGGATATACGAGCATTTTCCTACCATCTGTGACAGGAGGGTGCATCATTGTGAGGTAGGAGGACCCTACAGGCAAAGAGGTGGAAGGGGAGACAGGCACATCCTGGTGGTGTTGCTGAGTATAAGAGGAGGCTCGATGCTCTTATTGTAGATGATGTCATCTGGACACCATATACTGGTCATAGAGTCCACCGTGAGTCCGAGGAGACGTCGTTATATTCAGGTTATATGCGGTGGAAGACCATGGTTGCTAGCACTTGTCTGAAAGGTGTCTGTGACAATATGATTATGTTCAGGGTATCCCACGACCAGTTCCAGATATTCCAGGTTCATGGATTGACTGATGGTTTTAGAGTAACTTCCTCAGTTCCGGTCGCGCAATTAGAGATCGAGCGGTCACTGTTGAGCACCCCTCGCAGTATGACGATGGTTACTTGGAGTGGTATCTCACTGTATCACTCCCTCGCATCACCCAACCCGTAGATGATGATGGATCTTCTGATGATCGGGTACTTGTTGATGACGCACCTCCGCCGCCTCCTCTAGTAGATCACACCGATGACCAACAACGCCTCCATATGATTGCAGTGATTATGGATAACCTCATGGGTTTGGTAAACCCAGATGGTGAGGTATATACTGGATTAGCTCGGGCTGCACACATAGCCCGTTGAGGGCCTATTTAGATACATTTTGTATTATTCGTATATTATTCGGACGTCTTTATCATAACACTTTATTAGCTAATATTAATGATCTTACTTAAAGTGCAGTGTGAACGTTAACAACATCCTATAATGGTTTTCATAACTTAAACATAAAACATTTAACATTACACTATGATTAATGAATAAGAAAAATCTAAACACTACCAGGCGCTTCAGGACGTTTCAGCATCTCCATTATGTCGTCAACGGATCTTGACAGCTTCACATCTAACTCGATCGGCCCCTTTGTTATCCTACAGCGAAATGATATCCACATTTTCTTCACATCTTCGTCGGTCTTCAACTCAACAAGGTTGTATTTCACCCTCCTGTTTGTATCAATCTAATATTCACGAAACTTGATCTTTCTCACCTTTCTATTGTCACCATCATGCAACAATTCATTCAACTTCGACGTCAAGCCGGCAAAAGAGGTGGTGCTATCGGAAAGGTTGAACTCTACAGGAGGAGAAACTCTGTTGATGTACATTTCTGCCTTAATAAAAAATTGGGGAAGAAGCATTTTTTTAGATGTGTTTATCAACGACTGGTGACCTAAATTTATACAACTTTGAATCTATTTTGGACCACACAAACTGTCGGTGCAATCACAGCCGCACAAAACTGTCGATAAAATCCTAATAATTCAAAAAAATCCTAAAAATACAATTATCGAAAGTTTCACTTAAGATGAAATTTCTGGTATCAACACGAAAATTTGAAATTTTCGAATATCTTGCACTTTTACGGAAATTTTAAAATTTCTAATACACCAGAAATTCCAGATGACGGTTAGAAATTTCAAACTCTGTCAAAAGTTTTTAAAAAATGCTATTCTTACACCAAAAAGTTACACTATACCCAATTTACTGTTCACAAATACTTATGTATATATTTATAATTTAGTCTCAGAACATGGTTAATACTCCCTCTGTTTTTTTTATAAGTCGTTTTAGACTTTTTACAGATACCAAGGAAGTTATTAACTTTTGCTAATTTTGTAAATATATTATAGGGTATTCCAATATTATCCTTTTTAAAAACACTCAAAATCTCTTGTTTCAAAATATACCAGATTAATCATTATGATTTGTCTATGGAATATCTAGATTGCATTTATTCCAATATATTACATGAATAAAACATTAAATTAATTAAATTTATACGTGTCTTTTTCTATCATACACTAATTCCTTATTTTTCTCCCTCCCAAATTTTCCATCACTCACCAAAAGATACGCTAAAACACTCTGGGAGAAAAAATTAAGATTTTTTTTTGTTAAATTTTTCTATCGATGGATTTTTGGGATATTCCATTGCCAATTTTTTTGGGATTTTTTTGTTATGATAGGAAGAAGGATTAAAAAATGCACAATATATAAAACTTGAGAATTCACATTGAGGAGAGATATTTATGAGTTTTAATTGGGAGTTAATATATTCTTAAAAGAGAGGAATTTTGAAAAAAATCACAAATTAATATAGAGTTTTATGAGAGGAAGACTTTTTCTATAAAAAGTTGGACTAATGCATTGAAAAACAATATTCATAATGTCACTCTGCATTGGAATACAAGATTCACTGAATTATGAAAATTATAGAAAAAAAGAGATGAATTAGAGGTATTTTAGGAAGAAAAAAAATTAATTCTACATAGAAATTACAAAACCACTTATATTTTGGCACAATTTTTTTTCTTCCAAACCGACATATAATTAAAAACGGAGGGAGTAGAATGTATTTTATTAATTAATGAAGTAGTGAAAGTGGTTATTGAATTATAGGTAAAATAATTGATTAATGATTATATTTTTGTGGTTAATGTAATTGTGAAAATGATTAATGACGCAATCTTATATTTGTGTTATAAAATAAATTTTAAAAATAAATATTTTAAAAAAATATATTATTTTAATAAAAAAACACGGTTCAGTGAACAGTGCATACGGTGTAGGTATATGGGTGTAAGAATGGGTGTCAAGATAAAATTTTAATATAGCTATGAAAATTTTTATAAATTTGATATATTTTTCACTTAAGAACAGTTTTCAAAGTTTTCAAAGTTTTCACATTATAAAATATGTGTCAGATTTTATTTAAGAAGGTTAAATTCTTCATATTTGGCTAAACGCCTAAATGCCCTTTCCATTTCCATGTAGAGCGACAATTTAAGAACTCACAACTCACAACACAGAAAGAAAAAAGAGATTTCAACTTGGTGAAGAAACGTCTGAGTCTCTATTAGGCAAAACATCAAACACGTAGCCGACAAGTCCAATTTCGTCGCTTTATTGGAAAGAATCTCGATCATTCACTTCGTGAGTGCTTATATCTTTCTTTATATCTTGTACTGTTTGTTTTCGGCTACTTTTAGCGTATCTCTTCTGATTTTGGGTTTTGCTTTTTCCAATTGGTTTTTGATTCCTGGTTTTGCTCTTGTTGTTGCTAGTAAGTAGTAGAATTTTGCTGGTTAATGATTATGCTAACTTGACACTGATATCACATTCTAGATTGTTTATAATCGAATTTAATCACTCAATGCATGTGTTATTCCACTGCATACTACAATAGTTGGATAAACTAATTAGGGCCTGTTATGTAAACAGCTTATTTAAATAATCACTTATAGGTTTAAATTGTTTTTATATATGTTATAAGTTGTTTTCATAAGCTAGCTTGAAGAATTTATAAAAATAAGTTCAAACAAATTTATGAAAAATGTTATAAGTTGTTTTGATCAAGTCTCCCAAACAGTATCACAAAACTTATGGCAGTATATAAGCTCAAATAAGCACATTCAAATTGGCCCTAAATTAAGTGCTTATCATATTAGTTATTGTTTATAAGCTATTAAAGGATTCAATAATGTCAAAGTGTTTATATATAAGTTAATCTGTATAAGCTATTTTCATAAGTTATCTTGGAGAGCTTATGAAAATAAGCTGAAAGACAGTTATCCTGGACAGCTTATGAAAAAAAGCTGAAAATAATCTCTCACAAACAGATTCATAAATGCCACATAAACTTTTTTAGCCGAACCAAGCATGCAAGTGCATCACAAACTATGTTGGCACCATCACCCTTTTCCTATCATTTGTAATGTACTAATGGATATACTCGAATAAGACAATCTAAATTGAAATAAGTGCTTATGCCAGTGTTTAATGCATTGACTGTATAGCCCAGAGGGCACGTCCATTGTATTGTATTTGAAATTGTGAAGAAATGTGTTTTCAGTTGTCGACTGACACTATTGTCCTCGGGTTTCACCCATATACTATTTATATTATAAGTAAATCAGAACCATCGAATGAAGATTGGGAAATTTATTTTCTTACTTCAGACAATTGGATTCAAAACAAGATGTTGGAATGTAAATTATTTGATCTTCACTCAACAGTTCTTCTGGCTGCAAGGAATTTGTGAACTATTGACTGCAAGGAATTTGTGAACTATTGACTGCAAGGAATTTGTGAACTATTGACTGCAAGGAATCTGATTCGTAATATACATATCATGACATTACTTAAATCAACAATTCAAGAAAATAACCGGATCTTGCTAGTTATTTGTATCTTGTGATTTGCTGCTTGTATTCCGATTAGCTACCTTTGTAATGATCAATGATTATTTTTTCCTTTTGCAAGTGACTTATTTTTTTTGATCGAATGTAGTACAATTTCAGATCTCAAGGAACAACCACAATACTTTTGACTCAAATCATTCCTAGGTTTTTACAGATGAAGTCTTGTTTGACAAGTGATTATAAAGTAAAACAAGTGTCTCAGACATTTCTAGTTTCTAGTATAAATTATTTCTGATCATAAATTGGGATAGCAGTAGCATATTTACTGCTCATAACTGACTAGCTTAAATTCATAAGTTTTGTTGAACAGCTTGCATATTTCATTGATATGAAGAGCACTTAAGATTTTGTTGTTTTTGTTCAATCCAAAGCTTATGCGCTTCAATCATTTTGAATCTGATTCTATGTAAACATCCATGCACTGTTTTTTATTGGGGGAAACGAAGATAAAATATATATTATTTTCACTTTTACTTGATTTCAAATTATCAAGCTATGCCACTGAGAAATATTACTTGTATCATTTGCAGATTTCTCAAATATGCAAAGCATGAAGAAATCTATACTGAGTCATGTGAATTTGAGAAGGTCAACTGAAAGTTGGTTTTTGGCCAAAGATAATAACGTGCTTATGCACTTGAGATGCTGGTGCTCTTCAACCGGTGCCAGCTCTGATCCGATTCTGGACCAAGTAATCAGACTGGTCAAGAAGTATGATAAAATTGATGCAGCAAAGGTATCAAGTAATAGTCAATAAGCAGTTTTATTATTTTTATATGTCCGTCTTTATAAGTGTTCCACAGTCCGCGATTCTATTTCCATATTCAAATGTGTAGATTAAATATTGGTAGGTTACTTTGTGTAGGTAACTGAAACAGCTGATTTTCAAAAGGACTTGAGTCTGGACAGCTTGGATAGGGTTGAGCTTATAATGGCTCTTGAAGAAGAATTTTCCTTAGAGATTCCTGATGAGAAAGCGGATAAGCTTACTTGCTGCAAGGATGTTGCAAAATACATAGCCTCTGAAGCTGACCAAAAACTTTAGGCAAGCCACTTCTCAATTGTTTTGCTTATATTTTTAGAGAAAAGATATTTTTGTTGTTTAGCTGTATGAATCTCTGTCAAGTCAGCTTGATTGAAATTGACAAAAAGATGTTTTGCTGTTATTCTTAGTTGAACAGTTTGATGACCATTCTTAATTTTTCATATGGACAAATACTAGAGGTTGTTACACACAATTCATAAATTTAACAATCTCACACAAGCAGCTCTCAAATTTGAATAACTGCAATGGTTTACAAAGCAATGTCTGTTGTATACACTATATTGTAATTGTATTATGTACTTTCTGAAATGTAAATCCATGCAACCCAATACTGCGACTAAAGCGCCTTCCAAGTGAGTCATGGTGCTCCTACAAACATACTCATTTTGATGAAGTGGTTTCAAACCCACTCCTTAATTTCCTTGACGTCTTTGCGTGGTGGTGCATGCCGTGGCTCAGAAGTTGAATGCTGGATCCTTATGTTTCCGGCATCATAGGTGCGAATGCCATTCCCAATGGAAGAGAGCTTAAACAGTCCATTGTGTTTTCTTACTTGACGAGTTGGTCTGCAAAGTGATCCCTTTGGAATTTTATGAACTTTCACCCTGCATGTTTTTTCCAAGTTGGGAATAGCATGAAGGTAGGATGGGAGGTCCACCATAAAATCTCCAAATTCATCAGTTACACCTTTTGCTACCATTGATTTTCCTTTTCTTTCACTGCCATGGCTTTGGCAGTTGACAGCAACCCAAGCTCCTGCATTAGTTAATCTTAAATTAGCCATATTTGCATGCCAATGAAAATTCACATGTTTTTATTTTTTGGAAAATGTTGAAAATATTCAATGCATGTTGTTGGAGTCAAATTTCAAAGACTCAATTAAGAAATGGATTTGAATTCTCTCATTTTCATTGAGAAACAATGAAATATAACATAGTAACATGATGTGATAAAAAGATTATTATGTGATTGAATCTCCAATTTGATATTTAAAATTGTAGAATGTTATCATATTAGTCATCGAAATAAAAGATATTCAGAAAGAGTCCTCAACATTTTAATCACTGGCCATTTATTAGTCTATATAGACCTTACCCACTTTCAAATTAATCCCTAAAGTTAAATATGATTAAGTTTATCTTTAAAGTCAGAACTTTTGAAAAGTATATAATTTATTTGAGAATTAATTTTGAAAAGTATATATTTAATGGTAATGCTAACTTGTGTCTCTTAAAGGTCCATTGAGACACAGGGGTACAAAGGGCTGGAAATGAGTCGAGTCGAGTCGAACTCACCTCAGCTCGGCTCGACTCGTTAAGAATTGTTCGAATTCGAGTTCGAGTTCGAGTTCGACACGAACTTTTTTTTAAGCTCAAACTCGACTCGTTATAAGTTCACGAACAGTTCGGTTCGACTCGTTAGGTTCATCTCATTAGGTTCAGCTCACATGGTTCACGAACTTAAAAACTATTTTTTTAAATATATATATTTTTTAGTATATTTGACATTTTAAATAAATATATATTTTTTAAATAAAATATTAAAATAAAATAAAAGTTATCATATTGATATTTAACTTTATCTTCAAAATCTACTAATTCAAAACCTAAACAACTTTCAAGAGATACATTTGAGAGTCTAATTCAAAAACTACTAAATTGAAGATTAAATTTGTCTAAGATTTGAAGTAAATATTTAAACCTAATCTTAAAGACAGTATAATTCTTTCCATATGTAATCGAGTTGACTCATGAACCTAACGAGTCGAACTATGTATAGTTCAAGTTCAGCTCATTTAGTTAACGAACTTAATTTTTCGCTCATACTCAACTCATTTGGTTCATGAACCTAGTTCAACGATTTAATTGTCGAGTTGAATTCCGAACTATCTTCGAGTTGGTTTGGTTCATTGCCAGCCCTAGGTACAAGTGAAGAGATTACAATTAATAAGTTTTTTTTTTTCGTTATAAATTTTTTATTTATAGATTTTTTTATCATGTGCCTTCGAGGCACAAGTTAGGTACAAGTTAGCATTACCTTATATTTAAATATACATTACAACCTAAACTAAAATGATTGACATTTGACAATTTCATGAAAAAAAAACCCTTATAAAATATGAATAGCTCATTTTGATGAGTCTAATGTAGGAGACCAAACATTGTTGTTGCAACTGAATTTTTTTTTTCACGTCACAATAAATAAGCACAAATTGCAATTATATGTGGGGAAGTATTTTTCTTTTGGTGTTTAGTTAGTTCTCATATAGTAATAAATCTTTCATTACATAATGTGACTTACTACTATTTATTTGCTTCTCCCTATGCATTGACAGGAAGGTTAAAAATCATTGTCAATTTTTATTTATCAATAACGACAGCTTATCAATAATATTCAATGCCATTTAGTAGTAAATTTTAATCAACTTATATTATTTTCCGAAATAGAAATTTCACCTAAATGTGAAAGCAAGCTATTGTCACCAAACAACGGAACAACAATAATAATATATAATTATTGTAAATATTTATATTAATGTCATACTAATATAATCTTGAAATCACTAAAGAATATTAATAACACACATTAAACTTGTTAATTAAATATAATTAGTTCAAGATATGTATATACCTGGTATTGGCCATGCATGTGGATGATGATTAGGTTCACAATGAAGTGAGCCAGTAATAAGAACAGTTGAAAGCTTCTCTTCTCCATAGCCAGCAATTTCCACCACTTCTTTTCTGCTAGATAATGAATCCATCAAAGAGTGATCATGTTCTGAAAATCCAGTCACAGTGTTATTAAGCAATGATAATAAAGAGAGGAAAAAAAACATCACAAGAACGTTGTTGGCGTGAAAGTAGCTCATGGTTTTTGTGTTTGTTTATCAACTTACGTAAGATATAATGAGTTGCTACTTTCTCTGCTATTATATATAAGCCTCCAAGATTGTCCTCAAATCTTGCAAACTACATTTTGCTTGCTTAGGTTTGACTATTTTGTACTCGAATTAATTTGTGTTATTAATTAGTTGATCAAATTTGGGGTTCAAATGTGAAATAACATATTTGCCCATCACGTCATGCCCTCGTGTCATATCTTTTTATGGTAATTAATAATGCCGAATTCTCTACTCCTAAAATAGCTATTCATTGTAATAATAGTGGTTGATGTTAAATATTAATCAATTAATTACAAATATAAAGTGATAATATACATTAGTATGACTTACTTCTTTTATTTATAAATCAGCTCAGTTAGGAGCTGTAATATTTTAAAAATTGAATCAATAAGCAATTTAGTGAAGATATTGAATCACTATTTTATCATTTGAATTATTGAGTTATTGATCAAACTATATGATTAAATTTGATTAGGCTAAATTGATATTTATAATAAAATTATATAATTATGAAACCATATAGAATAATATATGACTTAGTATATGTTTATAAGTCCTGAGCGTGAGGATGTCTCTTAAGAGTCTCACATTAAATAATATATGACTTAAACATTTACTTATTAATAAAGCAATTCTTACTCATGATAATAATATATAAAATTGTTGAAAGATGGTGACCGTGAAAAGGGGATGAGGGCGGCCGAAAGCTACGGTGCCACCGTCACCTGAAACCCTCACCAGCTTGAAAACACCAGAACGTGAATCAAGCAACACCACTGTTGTCGGCCAGACTTCGGAGAACACTTCAAGAACCACCATTGGAGAAGACAAAGCTATGACAAATACCTTGGTAAGGGAGAACAAGGAAACCCTAACAGAACCAATACAACCACAACCTGAAGAGCGTAAACCTTGGGTTGATGTGATAAATGACAATCGGAACCCTGCAAGAGGAATGGCTATCGAGTACGTTGCGCCAAAGCTCATCAACAGAGTGTTTGAAATAAACATTGAACAAGAAGACATTGAAACGGAAATACAATTTTGGGATAATGCTCTAATCCTTTATGTTGTGGGAGATGACCTGAGTATGAACACGGTGAAGAACTTTATGCAGAGAATGTGGAACTTCGTGAAGATGCCAGATCTGTATTACTACGATGATGGTTATTTTTTGATCAGGTTTAGCTCCCAAGAAAATTAGGAAGCAGTTATGATGAAAGGGCCATACACGATTCGAAACATGCCCATGATCTTGAAGGAATGGCAAACTGGTTTCAATTTGAAGAAGGATCTACTGAGAACCTTACCAATTTGGGTCCAACTTCCCCTGCATCTATGGGGGGCCAAAAGTCTCAGCAAAATTGAAAGTGCTATTGGCAAACCATTTGTGACTAATGAGTGCACTGCAAATAAGCTTTGTGTCTCATATGCAAGATTATTGATTGAGGTAGATATTACTCAACCTTTGACAGATGAAATAGCCATAAGGAATGTTGAAGGAGATATAATAATGCAGCCTGTGAACTATGAATGGAGACCAAAATTCTGCGAAACATGTCAAAAAAATGGGGCACCAGTGCGAGGATCGTGGGAAGAAGCAACTAAGGAAACCAAAACTTAAGCCACCAGAAATGTCCATAAACATTACACCTGTTAAACCACCAGAAACAGAAGACACAACAGAAATAGGAAGGGAGTCTTGGACAAGAGCACGAAAGTCTGTAAGGGATAAAGGTAAAAACATAGTTACTGATACAAACAGCAGCATAAATTGTAATAATGGTTTTGAGGCGCTTGAGGTTTTGAATGACCATCAAGTGACCATCAACCCTAAACCATGTTAGTATCTTGGAACATAAGGGGACTCAATAAAGTAGGCAAAATTCGTGAGATTCGGTCCCGTCTCCAAGAGATAAAGCCTGCTATCATTATTCTGATTGAAACCAGAGTAAAAGAAGATAAAGCCAAGAACATTCGAGAGAAACTGATGATATATGGAAATTATATTGACAATTACAAGGACCATCCAAATGGTAGAATCTGGATCCACTGGGATAAGAACAGGGTAAATGTGCAATTCATTAGAAGTAGCAGTCAATATATCCACTGTGGTATCTATGATAACTGTGGAGTTTTCAAGCACTGGCTAACCACAGTTTATGCTCATAACCATCTTCATCAGAGGAAAACCTTGTGGACAGACATTGAACAAATTTGTGTTGGCAACCATGGGCCTTGGTGTGTTATTGGTGATTACAACAATGTAATCAAATCTCAAGACAGAATTGGTGGGAGTTTAGTGACTGAAAGAGAATACATTGATCTGACAAATATGATGGAAAACACTGGCCTAAGTGAAATGGACAGCATTAGGGATCATTTCACATGGTCTAATAAACAAGCAGCTGGTCCCATTTACTCTAGAATTGATAGAGTGTTAGGTAATACTGATTGGTTCCTCACTAATTTGGAGACTACTCTTAAAATCCTTCCTCCTAATATCTCTGATCATGTCGTGCTGTATCTGGTTTATAGCCAAACTCAAAGGAAATCCCCCAGACATTTTAAATTCAGCAATTGCATTACTGATATGCCTAGCTATGACACTTTGGTTAAGAAGAATTGGGAAGGCCTCCTTAGAGGTAGTCCAATGTTTGTTCTTTGGCACAAGCTCAAGCGTTTGAAACAGGATCTGCAACAATTCAACAAACCTATTTTTGATGTTAAGACCAAATTGGTATCTGCTAGAACTAACCTAAAAGAAATCCAAGAGCAGCTGAGAAGTGACAAATTGAACAGTAATTTGATTTTGACAGCAAAAGATCTAACTGAAGAAATCATAGCATTGAATGAAATGGATTGGAAGATTCTGCAACAAAGAGAAAACATTGATTGGATTAAAAAGGGAGATGGCAACAATCAATATTTCTATGCTGCTATCAAGGCCAGACATCATTCCAATTGTCTTAACAACCTGAAAAAAAGAGATGGCAGTCAGACCAATTCCATATCAGACATTGAAGAGGAGGTGCTTAATATCTAAAACAACTTAATGGGCAAGGATACTGAAAACATCAATCACATTGATATTGAGGCCATGAGAATGGGGAAGCAGCTTGACAATTACCAAAGGGAATACCTTATCAGACCTATATCAGAAAATGACATTACCACAACTCTTAAGGGAATTGGAGACCTCAAAGCACCAGGTTTGGATGGATTTGGAGCCAAGTTTTTTAAAAGCAGTTGGACAACTATAAGATAAGATGTGATAGCAGCTGTGAGGGAATACTTTGAAACAGGAAAAATCTACAAAGCTTTCAACAATGTTGTTGTGTCCTTAATTCCTAAAGGGCAAAGGGCTTATGAAATCCAAGATTACAGACCTATAGCTGTCTGCATCACTTTCTACAAGATTATTTCAAAGATCCTGACTAACAGATTAGGAGCTGTCATTTCTAGTGTGGTAAATCATAATCAAGCAGCTTTCGTACCAGGTTAGAACATCCACCAACACATCATGCTTGCTACTGAGTTGCTTAAGGGTTATAACAGGAAAGGAGGCACACCTAGAATCATGATTCAATTAGATCTGCAAAAAGCTTATGATATGGTTAATTGGAAGGCTCTAGAGTGCATCATGAAGGAGATGGGATTCCCTAACAAATTCATTCGTTGGATCATGTTGGGCATCACCACTGTATCTTATAGATTTAACATCATGGGAGAGTACACTGATATTCTGCAGGCCAAATGGGGAATTCGTCAGGGCAATCCTCTATCACCTATGCTGTTTGTTCTCATAATGGAGTATATGAACAGATTGTTGATGAAAATGCAAAGAGACCTTAATTTTAACTACCATTCCAAATGCGAAAAGTTGAAAATCACCAACCTTACCTTTGCTGATGATGTTCTATTATTCTGCAGGGGTGATGAGATCTCTTTACATATGATTCTTCATACTTTCAGGGCTTTCTCCATGTCCACGGGGTTAATTATGAATCCTAACAAATGCAGGATTTATTTTGGAGGACTAGACAAAGAAAAGAGAAAGGTTCTGAAAGAGATGTCTGGTTTCCAAGAAGTTACGTTTCCTTTCCGATATCTCGGTATACCGCTAGTTGGCAGGAAGCTCAACATCATTCACTTTATGCCCTTGGTGGATAGAATAGTGGCTAGAATTCACCATTGGTCTTCAAAGCTTCTAAGTTATGCCGACAGAATTCAATTGGTGAAAAGTATAACAACTGCAATGGTTCAGTACTGGCTGCACTGTCTTCCTATGCCCAAAACAGTGATAAAAATGATTGACTCCATTTGTCACAGTTTCATCTGGACCGACAAAGATACAGTGAGCAGAAAGTGTCCTGTGGCTTGGAAACGCATGAGCTGTCCTACTGCTCAAGGTGGGTTAAACCTGATAAATTTGCAGATTTGGAACAATGTCCCGCTCTTAAAATGCTTATGGAATCTGTGCAAAAAATCTGATACCTTGTGGGTGAAATGGATCCATATTCATTACTTTAAAGACAAGCAGATCATGAATTATGAAATCAAAACTCAAAACTCCTGGATCATGCGCAACATTTTGAAACAAAGGGATACCATGGATCTAATTAGAAACGAATGGGATCAACTTCTGATTTCACACAGGTTTAAGGCGCCGGTTTTCTACAAGGTTCTGATCGATGACGGCACAAAAGTGCCTTGGAAAAACTTAATTAGATCCAATAAGAGCCGACCGCGAGCAGTTTTTTGTCTATGGCAAGCTTGCCATGGAAAACTTGCAACCAAGGATAGATTAAAGCGTTTTGGCATGATTCAAGACAGTCGGTGCAGTTTATGTCATACCGAGGAAGAGACGAGGAACCATCTATTTTTCTGAGTCAAGGAACAAGACGCATTTGGAAGAAAGTGCTCCATTGGTTTAACATAGTTCATACTCCTCAACCTTGGGATGC